TTCACTTATTCTCCTCCCGTACCTACATTCTGATAGATTTCTTGGACATTGACAGATTTTTTTGGTGGGGTGAGGGCACATGTTCCTATATTCCCCAAGTGAGTTTGCAGATATGAAATTCATAACAAATCTCGCTTGTCTTCCTCGCCTCCCTTTCATCTCACTTGCCACTCTCATGTGTATCTAGCATCCTAAATACATGTGAATCAAACCAGATACATGTATATAGCGTGTATCTAGTGTGAATCGCATGTATCTGGGATACATGACTAACTCGCTCGCCTCCCTCTCTATTTCGGTCGCCTCTCTTCCTATTTTAGCGTATCTGGTAGTAAAAATACATATATTTAGACACTATGTGTATCTTCTTTAATATATGACTCTTAATTAATAATAAGATACGTAGTATTTTGAAAGTATAAATAATAATGATATACATAATAATGGATACATCTAATTATGTAATTTTTCCATTAAATTATGACTCATTATTTAGCTTATTTTGATCCGTTCGTTTAAGCCCAAATAATATTTGGGTGGGTCACTAACCCAAAGACTGTTGATTGCAACTCGTAATTTTCTTCAATATAGTTTTATTTAAGTTATATACTATTTCTCAACTCGTATTCATATATATATATATATTTTACTTTATTGAATATATGATTTACTATTCGAACATTTAACTTTCTATTCAAACAAATTAAAAAAAAGATTTCAACAATAAATTATATGCAAAATGACAAAATATTCAGAACAATTAAGGGCATTTGGTCTAGTGGTATGATTCTCGCTTAGGGTGCGAGAGGTCCCGAGTTCAATTCTCGGAATGCCCCTTTTCTTTTTTATATTCTATATGTACGCTGATTATGAATATATCTTTAAAGGATCGATACATGTATGATAACCATCATTTTAAGAAAAATATATTTTATTTTCTTGACACGTATAATTGCTTTTAGAGGTGTAGTCATGATTGAAATTACGAATTAATTTTATGTATGCTTTGTGTCAAATAACAATCACAATTAGTCAAGTATTATATGTGTGCATACGCATATATGTATAGTTTGAAAGAAAATAGTTCAATTTATACGTTATTATTCAAGATATATTCAACACCATGAATATATTTTTGAAGGATTGATACATGTATAATTATAACCACTACTTTGAAATTTTTATTTAATTTTCTTGGCACATATAGTTAGTGCTTTAAATTTTTCAAATATTTAGTGGTTTTTAAGACAAATTCAGAGTTCGGATCCAAAAGGACAATTTTTTTCCTAAAAAAACATAAACGGTATACCAATTATTTTTTTTACCAAAACGGTAAAATCGCTTCCTAGGGAGCGATATCTTTTAACGTATGTCGGACATGCCGTTAAAGCCTTCATTCAAATTGCTGCTGGACAGCGATTTTGTCAAAAACGAAGTTGGAAAATTGCTGCCATCGCAGCGAATTCAAGTTGGAGATTTTTTTTTTATTTTTTTTTTGCAAAAACACTGCTGAAGCAGCGAGTTAAGATTATTTTTTTTAGGATAACACTGCTGAGGCAGCAATTTTATAAAAAAAAAAAAAAAAAAAAAAATTAAATTTGGACAAGCAGCAATTTTAAATAAAGTTTTTAACGATGTAAGGAAAAAAACAAATTCGACTTAAAACGGCAGCGATTTTTAATTAAAAAAAAAGAAAAAAAGTTTTTGGACAAAATTGCTACTAGGGCAACGATTTTTAGTCATTGTATCAAAGGAAAATCGCTTCGTCAGGAGTGATTTTGCCCTTTTGATTTAAAAAAAAATTGATGTGCCCTTTTGAAATTTTTGACAATTTTTTTTACCCTTTTGGCTCTGGACTCGACAAATCCATATCCCTAAAAACACACATTTTCCATTTGTGCACTTGGCAAAAGGAATTAGACCACAATGAACAAAACAATATTCATCATTGTTGCAAAACTCTTGTGCTGCAATTTCCAAGAAAAATAATCATGCAATACTCAATTTGGTTCAATCTCAACTCATTTAAGCTTTCATCCATTTTAAGATAATTCTCAATCGAGCCCAACTTAATCTTCAATTTTAACCCGTTTTAAGACTCTTTATTTGCATTATTGTAAACTTGTAATGTATGTTCCTACATCGAATGTATGAAATACTTTTTATTTTATATCTTTTAGGATTTATCTATCAAATTGTAACTTTTTTGAAGAAAAAAAAATCTTGAGTTGAAAATTCAAAATTGTGAATTATAAAAGTTAAATAACAATATGTTAAAATATTGAGATTAAGCGGGTCACATTGGGCGGGTCATGATCCAACCTAATTTTTAGGTCATTTGAGCCCAAAATAGACTTGGGCGGGTCAAGACCCAACCCAATTTCTATTACAATCTATTTTAATATCTCTAATTTCAAAACTCGCCGATTTAACACCTCTATGTGGTACAATATGCTTATTTTTCGTGTAAATCATCATTAATGATGTGGGTGCAATTAAAATTCTGAAAATTGAAAATAATATTTGATTATGCTAAATGAAGTCATATTTGTAATTGAAATTCCGATATGAGTTTTTATGTGTTTTATCTCAATTAATAATCTAAATTACTCAATTATTATATATGTATATACTCATATATGATATATGTATAGTTCCCATAAAAGAAATTCAATTTGTAAGTTACTTATCCAAGATTAATTCAAGATCATAAATATATTTTCAAAGGATCGATACATGTATAATAACCACTAAAGTTTAATATAATTTAATTTTCTTGGCACATATAAGTGCTTTGGAATTTTCATACATTAGTTGTTTCAAAGACAAATCCATATCCCTGATCTATGTTGCTCGGACTCTTCCAAAGTACTACTGTGTTCATATTGAATTTCCAAAACTATACTAATTTTGAAAAATTCGACACATAATTATGAGACGTTTTTAAAGAATACGAGCAACATAATCACTAATTACAAGAACAATGCCCATCTTTGCACTCAGCAGCATAAGTAAATGGATAACAATGATCATAACAATCTGCAGCTGTCTTGCATACTGGTGAATCTGCTGCAATTCCCAAGCAAAACAAACCTACAAAATCATTAAAAAAAAAGTTTCTTAATTGTCAAAATAAAAATAATTTTTCAATTTAATCATATGATATTTAAAATCAAGTAGACGCAACAAATTTAAATCTAAGTTGAGTAGGTTCATTGATTAGGCAAAATCAATTGGCACAACAAATTTAGATTTAAGTCAAGTAGGTTCATAGATTGGGTAAAGTGTGAAAAAAATAGTTTTTGAGTTTTGATCATTTGACATTCAAAATCAATTGGCATAACAAATCCAGATCTGAGTCGAGTAGGTTCAAATCAGTAAAGAAATCAAAAAAATATTTAGGATATTTGAAACACGATATAATTTTCTGACAAATGATTCAATAAATCACTTTTTATATCGTAAAATCCTTTGTTTATAAAATTTGAACTTGAAGTCTCTTGTTGATGATGAATAAACCCTAGAACATCCTCCTAGTGGTTAAAACTTAAAGAATAAAAGTAAAAGTAATTAACTTGCATAGTGGTTTGGTCTAATAGCTAAGAACGTTTCTCCCCACACACAAAAAAAAAACTAGAAATTTGTCACTAAAAAAGAAGAAGAATAGAAATTAATTAGACACAAATAGTTAGGAAGAGAGATGAATTACACACCAACAATTGCAATTAAAATGGCATAAACCAAGAACAATGTTGTAAAGCAAACTCTAGTCATCTCTTTAGATATAAGTATAACACAAGCTTTTTTTATTATAATTTACTTGAATCAAGTTTTACTTTTATATATACACTTGTAGGGGAAATAAAATCTGATTTATGAAGGATTTAGATTGAAAAACATTAAATGTGTTTGACCATTTTGGGTGTTGTTTAGTTAGTTTGTACTTGTATAATTTGTCTCCTTGGGGAAAAAAAAAGGTAAATTGAAATAAATCAGAATCAAATGCATGTTTGACCAAGTTTTATACAAAATACTTACTTATTAAATAATAATAAAAATAATTACTCTATATTTGACTATTACTACTTTGTGTAGTCATTTAATACTTTCTCATAAATGAATTATTGGGGTGTGACACAACTCTTAAAAAAGATATTTAAGGACATAAATCAATTAAGGGTAAATTTACAATATTATTCAATGTGAAATCATAAATATAAACGTGTCCTTTAATTTGATCTCATTTGACATTTATGCTTTCCAACTTTGAATGTTTGGATTGACTTAAAAAGTAGATTTTAAGTCAAATATAAAAAGTAGGGGGAACGGATTGACTTTAAAAAATAGCTTTTAAGTCAAAAATAAAAAGTCAAACTGAAATAACTTTTAAGTCGAAAAATAAAAAGTTGGAGGAGACCTAATTTTGAGTTTTGACTTATTTTAAGTCATTTTTTACCTTGTCAAACACTTCCTAACTCATTTTAAATCATCATTGACTTATTTTAAGTTATTTTTTATATTTGTCAATCACTTCCAGAAGTCAATCCAAACAGCCTCTTACTTTTGATTTTTGACTCATTTTAAGTCATTTTAAATTTATTTTAAGTTATTTTTAACATTGCCATATACTTTCTAACTTTAAGTCTTTTTTTAAAAAACTTTTTAAAAGTTATTTTTATATTTGTCAAACACTTTTAGAAATCAAAAACTGACTTAAAAGTAGGTTTAACCAACATTAAAATCAATCCAAACACCCTCTTAACCTTGTATAAAATTGAACAAGTAGACACACATGTCCTACTTGACGTCCATTCGTATCCTACGTGACACCCTGCATGTCGTCCTACATATATTAGGACGCATGTATCTACTTGTTCAACTTTATACAAATCTACTTGTGAACACCCAAAATTACATATGTATAATCTTGTCCGCATTAAGGCGAAGGAATAAAGGAGGTACACTCTTTTAAGTCCCCGTTAAGGCGGAAGGAAAAAAGGGACCTGCAGAAGGCGCTTGCGTTTCGATTTGATACAGAGTAGAAGTAAATCAGAAAAGAGATAATAAGGAGATTCTTTACACATTTGAAAGAAACGACTGATGACATGAAAAACATTTTCTGTACAAACTTTTGAGGTGATACTAGTTTTTCCCCCATTTGAGAAATGTTCTAAATACATATTTACACAAGTTCAATGCCCAATAAGCCATACCTAAATAAATCATTTTTCTTTCATGTCGTCGTCATCCAAAGCGGTTTTCTTGCAGATGGGACACACGTTCTTCATTGACAGCCATCTTCTTATGCACCCCACATGAAAATCATGGATGCACGATTTCAATGTCCCGACATCATCCATGTTAACATACTCTTCCTGTCAAATGCAGTGGCATACGAAATGCACTTGTTAGAATCGTAAGAAAAGCAAAAGCACCATACAAACTACTAGACTGGTAAAAACTGCTCAATGTAGAGTCTAGTATCAACGAGTGAACTCACACGGAGTGATAATGATGGAAAGGCGCCTTTCAAGTTAAATGTTAATCACCATTTTTAACAGGTTACAGATAATGTTTATCATAGAGTTTACTTCTAACTACCTAATAAATCACAATGATTGTGTAAATATTTTTAATGCTATTGGTGCATAGAGAACTTAAACTCATCGCATAAACTCAAAGGAAGGATCTAAAGTGCTTGAAGTCATTATATCTAAATATTTGACCTGCTGCATTATGTACATTTCTGACAAGATAACAATACTCACCAAACAGATAACACAATTTCCTTCCTCGTGATTTTGGTCTGAGGAACAATAAATTGACTCGGTCATGCACTTTGAAATCAGTTCCTCCGACAAGCCAGTATTGACATGGCCAATTCTTTCTCCCAGAGCAAGAAGTTCCTGTTCACGTCAAAGTATCAAAGCTGAGAAGACGGCTGCAAGTTGAAAACAGAAAGCAAGACAAAGGTGCAAGTAGAGTTTCAGAACTTACCTCATAGCCCATGTCGTCAATGTCAAGTCTCATGTCCCTATGCTGATCAAACATGCTTCTGGATCCATAATAAGTAGAGCGGTCTGGAATAATAACACCCTGAAAGAACCCCCAAAGTTTCACATTCAACACGTCTTTAAGGAGATATGTTCAGAGATGGTAGAAATGATTAACGAAAATATCATATTAAAGCCAAGTTACTATCTACCGCTATTTGTATTCTCCATTATGCCAGATTGGAATACACAAGTGTCCATACAAGAAAGCAAAATAAATCCACTAAATTATGAGTAATAAAAATTGATGAAAAAAAGTAAGGATCCCCGAATGAATTTCATCAAGACTGATTGGATATAAGAAGGATCACAAGTCAAACAGTTTAACACAAACAGCTTAAATTAATGACACAAACCTACATATCATAAATATGTGTGCATGCATATTCCCAGTTAATCTTTCAAAGTGAAGCGCATTTTCCCTACATTAGCTGATTAAACAAATGCACAAAATACACCTGGGTAGCATCTATGATTTACACTGAAAATGATTTACACCAATATATACACACACATGTAAAGCAAAATAAGACTAGGACATTCCTGTGGCATGAAGCAGAAAGGTCATATTTTCATAAGAGGAAAAGAAAAACAAAAGACTGGGACATTCATGTGGCACAATGCAAGAAAACTAGTCACACCCATGATGCAAAAGACTTGTGTATTTGATATAGGGAGCCTAGACAGAAGCTAATCCCCTCACAAAAGGACGACATGCCAATTTCTTGAATAAGATGAGCATACACACCTCAGATGCAAGTTGCTCACGGAAACCTGCCTCACCAGCCAATGATCTGTACCTATCACTAGATACCCTAGTTCTCCCATTTCGGTCACTACTACGCAGTCCTAGAGTAGACAATGGTCGTGAATGTCTTGAGGCGTAACCTTCAGTAAACAACTGTGATCCATCATCTGAAGTCCCAACATGCCCATGACGCATATAGCTTGAAGAAGTCCTGAAAGTAGGGGAAGATCTTTGACTGTAGCTACTTCGGACTCCCCTTGAAGATGGCAAGCTGCCAGGCAAATGTTGAGGAAGGGAACTTCTGTTGGAGGTGAAATCATTGTGGTAATTCCCCATCTCCAGAGAGGTAGAGATATTGCCGGTAACCATATCATAGTGGTTCATATCATAACAAAAGAAGCTTGCATCTGCAGTTTACAAAATATTCTTATTAAAATCAAAACACAGCAAAGGATAACAAAACAATTTAAGAAACTAACCAGGAGCAAAGTTCCTCCCATGAGCAGCTGCAGGGGGCATGACAGCATGGTTCCATTCCCTTGCTGAAGAATTCGAACTTGGAGCTAGATAATTCACTGAACTACAATAATCAGTGGACGTTCTACTGCTGTTAGAGTGATGTGAAGGAGTACTTGTTATATGTGCCCTTCCTACATTATTTTGCAGATCAAATGCAGCTCTGCTTCTTACATTCCTCTGAGAACCCTCACCTCCAATAGACAGACTATTACCTCTGTAACTAGGATGTAAACCCCAAGTTGTGTAATGGGGGTCTGGATTTTGTTTTTCCTGCCAAGAGTCAGAAGGGAGATCAGATGAACTGCCAGCATCGAAGTATCTGCTTGTACTACCACTTTCGCCACCTGCAGGTATACCAGGACTCTTTCGTTTGTACGGCCCTCTCCCACTACCCATTGTGAGGTCAACAAGGCCGCCATCCACCCCATGATATGTCTGGCCGCCATGGGCTGATGAAGATGCTTGATGTGGATAATTCTCATGGATCATATGAAAGCCTCCAGTACCTGAATGCAGAAAAGGATCATGAAAAGGACCTTGAACCTGTGGCTGACAGTGTGGAATTTCCATATTTGGATTCGAGGAAGAATATCCACTTGGCCTAGAGGCATGCCCCTGAGAAGAATGGTGTACCCCGTCAATTGACATACTGTCCACTGGATAAACAATATTACTGCCTTCCGGAACACCGGCCCTTGCTGCAATTAAAAAGGAGACATTAACATGAGAAGGCTCTTTACTGTTTATTTATGTCCTCCCTATTTCAGACCATATAAATGGTCAACAAAGGTATACTTCCAATTTATACAGCCAGAAGGCATTATTTTGTTCACTACCCCTCAGCACTTCCACAAGAGTATCCTGTCAGATTGGTAATTTCCATGTTTAGCCAAGGTCAGTTCCTTTAATCAAAAGACAAACTCTGCTCTTTCAGTCCAACAGTCTAGTTCAAAGGCCATCCACTGGTTCTATACGTAGGTAGATTTTACATGGACCAGCTTTAATTCCATTTGCCTACAGGAGACGATCAATCATGAAGGCACCAGAAGGGCACATCATCTCAACACATGGATTCTGTCTTATAAAAAAGATGGAGTATTGAGTGATTTTATACTTTTAGCACTAATGTGATGATAGGATCATCTCCATAATTTAACGAGTTTATGGGCATTACACATCAATAACCAAAGGAAGGGAAAGAATGAAAAGGAAACATCATGATATGCTTAGATGGAGAGGGCTAATGGTATGTTATGAAGTTGCAGCTCCAAGACATGTGATGGATTTACTAATAGACCAATTCCAGGCAAAACTTAATAAGACGAAAGATTGGTCAAGCTTTATGTTAAAATGAAATCTGTACACCTAAAAGAAATATCAGTAGTTACCGAAAGGCAAAGGTGCCTGCTCTGGAACATTCCATCTCTGATCATCTTCCGTCCCAAATATCTGAGACATGTTGAATGAATTTCTGTGCCCCATTGTACGCGAATGTTAGCAATAAATTTATCTCTCCGCGAAAAGAAATCTGCATTCAAATAACAGGAGTCACCTCGTCATTTTTTTTCTTTTATACTGTAAGGAATATAAACAGTTACTCGGTGACACATAATTTGACCATTCAACTATACACCACAACATGACACATCAAAGATCCACATGAATCAACGTCACCCCCCCCCCTCTCTCTCTCCCCTTTCCTTCTTAGTGCACAAAGTAACGTATTGGAAAAGTATTGTCGATCTCCCCTTATCTTTAGAACCCGGACATGAATTCTATACAATTTCTTATCAAACAAACTTAAGACTTTTATTTCTACAAACCCCTACTCAAACCTATCTTCTTACAGAAACTTAGGACCTGTTTGGCCAAAACGCCCACTTACTGATAACAAATACAAGTCAGCAGAGAAAAAATGCTATCAGAAGTAATTTTTAGGAAAGTCAGGGAATAAGCTTAGGATTTCACAATAAAACAGAAAAGCTTGATCTAAAATTGTGAAGCTCCTTCACATAAAGTAATCAAAGAAAAGACATCTAGATGTGGTAGAATTATTTTTACTGAAAGCCACAATTAAATCTCACAGAGATGTGAAACTTACATATCAGCATGCAGGATTAGTCAAATGTGAGCTCATATGGTCCGCGGACTAAGCTATCCTGGGACTATAGTCCTGGTAAAATAATCCTTTGACTAATTCATCTCACTTGGGAGGTGAGATAAAATAACATCAACGTTGATGGGATAAGTGGGGACATCCCAGGATTAGGTTTCGGATTAAATTTATACTTTGTTTGGTTAAAGGTATAAATTAATATCAAGGTCAGACATCTAGATGTAGCAGAATTCTTGCACTGAAAGCCATAATTAGATCTCACAGAGATGTGGAACTTACAATTGTGTATCAGCATGCACGATTAGTCACATGTTTAATGGGCACAAGACAAACTACTTGATATGGCCAATCTGACGCAGATGACTCTTGCTATATGCTTAAAACCATTTTTTGCTTCCGATAGTTTTATGTTAAAAGGTTTTTCTACCCCACTTAGGTAGGAATAAGGTCTGCATACGCCCCACCCTCCCCACTTGTAGGAATATACTGGGTGTGTTGTTGTTAGTTTATGTTAAAAGTTAAGAGAAATACTTTGTCATATGTTGAATACATCCAGGTTAGTGGCATGAAATAACTTGTTATTGGCACAAGGCGGTGAGAGGTAAACCGCTCACTGAGAAACTTTTCGTAGGAGGAGATTTCAATGGACACATTGGGTCAACCCCAAGGCCCAAGGGGTTATGACGATGTGCATGGAGGCTTTGGTTTTGGGGATAGGAATGAGGGAGGAGTCCCGATTACTTCCTCATTAGGAAGAATGATAAAAGTCTTTGTAAGCACTGCAAGGTTATCCCAAGTGAGAATCTTACTATCCAACATAAGCTCTTGGTGATGAATTTGGAGATGAAGTGGACGAAGAAGAGGGTTGTGTGAGACCTGTCAAGGATCAAGGTGGATAGTTTGACTATGGCCAGTGCTCAAGAGATAGCGGAGAAGTTGTTGTCCATAGGGGTGGGGGTTAGTGGGGATGCGAACAATATGTGGGATAAGACAACTAATTGCAACATGGAAGAAGTTAGAGAGGTGATGGCAGTCTCGAGAGGTAGCTTAAGTGGCCATAGAGGGGATTGGTTGTGGAATGGGAACGACCAAGGGAAAGTGGTAGCAAAAAAGGTGGTGAAGTGAAGTTGGTGGAGAGTAAGAATAAAGAGGAAAAGCGGACACATAAGGAAAGATATAAGATAGCGAAGGAGGTAATTTAGCAATTACAACGACAAAAATGACAACTTCTAAACATTTGAATGTAGAACTAAAGAACAAAGGCGGGGATAAAATTGTATAGGCTAGACAATGCCTGATAGAGGAGGGCCGGAGGGATTAGACGAAGGTGACAATTATATTTCCATAAATTCTTGAACAAAAAGTCGAGATCGAGACATTGTGCTTAGAGACTTGGAGAATTACGAGAAGTGTTACAATTTTGGGCATGTAGGTGAATAAAAGTTGAGAAGGTTAAGGGTGTGATTCAAAGGATGCACAGGGGAAGAGCAATTAGCCAGACAAGATCCGGATGGAATTTTAAAAGAGCACAGGCAAGGAATGTATGAAGTGGCTGACTGAATTGTTTAATGTCGTTTTTTAAGACAGCAATAGTGTCCGAAAAAATAGAGGTGGAGTACAATGATCTGTTGTACAAGAACAACGGCGACTTCCAAAATTGCAACAACTATAGAGGTATCAAACTCCAAAGCCACAAATTTAAGATAGGGTGATGGAGATAAAGGTGAGGAAGGGCATTTCTATTTTCGAGAACCAGTTCAGATTCATGCCGGGAAATTCAACTACAAAAGTCATCATCTAGTTAGGAGACTGTTGGAACAATATAAGGAGAAGAAGAGGGGCTTACACATGGTGTTCATCAACCAAGCATACGACAAAGTTCTAATGGAGGTGCTTGAAGTCTAAAGGTGTACTTGTGGCATACACTAGTGCAATTAAGAACATGTAAGAGACTCAAAAGCACTTCCCATGAAGTGGCACCAAAGATCAACTCTTAGCCCATTTTTATTTGCCATGGTGATGACTGTATTGGCGCGACAAATCTAACCCCACTATTCTAGTCATTCTTCTAGCAACTTTCAAGTAAAATGTTCTCTAGAACTTTTTCTCCTCGGCTTTTTATTTATAGTTTCTTTATTTATTAAGTAAAGTGCTTTATTACTAACCAGTACCAAGCGAGTACCATAGAAAATACAGAAGGAGAACTTAACCACGGCTAAAAGTTCAGGGAATCTAAAACATCCCTAACTGTTTAAATGCTATTTTGAAAGTTCACCAATGTCACATAATTATGTTTTGTATATATCTAGATTTAACATGAAAATGTGATCTTTCTCCCCCTATAGCATTTCTCTCTCCTTGCAAGGCAGACGATCCCATATAATACATAAATGGATCATCTCCCTCAGTTGTGTCTATACTGTCTGTTTTCTGTCTCTGCCAGCAGTTCAACAACTGCTTCAGTTTCTGTGCACAACCCAAAAAACACCAGATATGTCTAGAAACAAGCCCATATCTGACAAGTTGGGCTGCAATGAAGACATAGATGACTAATTCAGGGGAGTGTTCACATAGAAAACATCTGCTTCACAGAGTAAATCCTCTCCACTGGAGCTTATCTTATGTTAAACATGCTTCATGTGTAGCTAACCATCCAAATATTGACACCTAACTTTTTATTCATGATATTGAAATTTGGGTATCTCTCCTTTGGACATTGTTCCCACAACTTCCTTTATTACTCTTCCGGTGCCAATTCAAGCTACACTAATGATGTCTTAAAAGTTGACGTCACTACAGCTATTTGCACTAATCGAGTAGATTTTATTTTTTTGGAAAATGGTAAGGATTGTATTTAAAACAGCACTAAGAATGTGTTGGGAGCTCTGTACAATCTGGCAAAGAAAAAAAAACTACATCCCATCCTAGGCATGTAGGGACTCTAGCAGCTAATCGAGTGTAGATTTCTTTTTGTGCGTGTTATAAACAATTCCTTTCACAATATAATTACCAGCATACTCCCGAGGAAAAATCCCAATGCCCATTCTTTCCAGTGATTGTTTACTTGTTCAAGTACTACTCCGCCAACACTGTTCGGGTGATTGATTACTATTTCTGTGATTTTGTTTTAGTATTTTCTTTTGGAGTTAGCAAGACTCAAGTTATTTCACCACCTTGAGCTGAAAGTCGAGAGAATTATGTCATTTTTCGTTAATAAATTTAGGTTAATAGTATGAATAGTTCTTCATGATTGTGTCATAATTAAGAATACTAAGAATTTTAAACATTATTTAGTTTAAATATTCTCTGTCATCATATATGTTCTCACTACTTACTCAATTAGTATTTTTTTTTCGTTTACTTATCTTCACAATTCAAAAGCTAAAACCTCGCCGAGGAACCTCGACAAATAATAAGAGGTACAATATAGAATTTTTCTTTTACCGCAGAGGTCCAACAAAGCTATAGAAGTAAATGAAAAGCAGAACTGTCTAGGCGAAAGGTTTACTCCTTAATATATAAATGGCCCAAAAAAAATAAAACCGCATGTAGAAACAAATTGCTATCTATCCAATAATAATGTAAAGCCCCAATTCATATACATAGCAGGGAAGGCTCCCTTTCAGTGTGTACTTCATGGAGAAAGGTTTCCAAGAGAAAGTAGATATTTACTTCTCAAATACATCCATTCCTCTTGTTGTTGTCATACTAGCTACCATCTGTATCATCCTCTGTCGCCCGTACATATAGTTAGGCTCTTAAGTGTAGAAGGACTATAATGCCTGGGTCAGTGATTAAAAGAAAGAGAGATTTTCTTTGATTTTTGAAAGGTATAGAAAATAAAGGAAGCTCTACGTCTCCAACTGGGCTATTGTGGTCTAGATTAGCATCAACATAGAATTTTTTGTTTCTTGTCTTTACATTCTTGGTCCCTTGATGGAAAAAGTTAAAAACCTATAAGACGATTATTACAGTTCAACTTGAATTAGGTTTTATTAGTTAACCATTTTCCATGTCTAACACAAATATTCAAGTTGTAGATGTCATCCGCCGCCTCCTTTTCGGCGTACTCTTGAAATAAGTTATTTTTCACAAAAACAATATTTACAAACTGAATCACCTTCACAGTAGCACTTATGCAACAAACATTAGCTGCCGAACCTTTTCTTTGTTATGTTCCAGTTACATTATATCTTTCTTTAAATTAAAGCATAGATTCTACTTAAACGGTAATCTTAACTTAGCAACTTTGAATGGGTCTGATGACGAGGAATCTCTTACATTTATACATCTGTGAGAGAGTCTATAATGGTTAATGGAATTTCATTTGAACTTTGTCAGGAATAGCAAAGGATGTTCACACAGAGATCATTTATCCCCATTACTTTTCTGCTTTGCCATTGAGATGATCAATAAGCTGCAGGAAAACCAATAAATGGAGCATGTCTGAATGGTTTTATGATAAAAGCTATCAGTAGAGCATAGACTGAAAAATCAGATCTAATATAAGCAGATGAGATACTAATTTTCTAAGATCCTCAATTGAGACAAATCTGTCACTGTTCAAGACCTTGACATAGTTGGTGGCAGTGTAGTGGCTCAGAACAAGTACAACGAAATCGGAGTTCAAACCATTGGGAGGTGCATAATAACCATTGTTCTAACTACAATCAAGGGGTGATTGCACATGAGTTCCTTACAAACAGCCTGGATCTTCCCCTAGGAGGCAAATTCAAGGAGGGAGAGCTTTGGCTACTACAGCTCAAGAAAGTATTGAAAGGATAGAAAAAGAAGTACAATGTCAAAAGGAGGGAGAAGTATTTGACAGAAAAAGCTCTTATCTACATCTTCATATTCTAGAATTGGTGCCTTAAAAAACTGAAAATCTAATGAGATAGGCAATTTTCATCAGGTGAGTTGGGAGAGCTGGATAGAGACAGAGCCCTATACGAACAGATGAGCCTCGGTAGGAATGGAAGCCTTAGTATCTGGAAATAACTATGTTCAACTGAGCCCTTTTGGGATGGTTATGGGAGATAGAAATAGATGAAAGTGTTATACGGAGGGAACTGATCAATGAAATGTATAAACGCATACATCTTGGATGGTTATCAAAGAGGCGAACCACCCTTATAAAACAAGCTAATGGAAAAGATCATGAAAAAGAGAGGACTTCCTGAAGTTTAAAGGAATCTCTTTTAGGAACGGAAACTGTACACGATGTTGACTCGATATTTGGTGAGGTGGTATTATTCTAACCAGCTGAATTTTCTGATCTCTTTTCAAACACAAACTGCAAAGAAAGCCATAGTTGTGGAGATTCTTAATGCAAGGTTGGGCAGATGGCACCAGACATACATTTAGACAAGTATACAATACTAAAAATTGACAATGTGGAAAGATTTCCTGGCAACTATACAAGCTTTTCATGATTAGGGTGATAAGATGGTCTGGATGGTGACATTCCCAAATTATTCTCCAAGAAGTCTTACCATACTTCCTGCTTGAGGGGAGAAGTAAGACCATTTGGAAGACAATATGGAAATTGGAACCACCCAAAAAGTGGCATCTTTCACATGAAAAAGGTACATTATGGTCAATGACGGAAGTATTGTTATAAAGACAACAATATCATTGAATTATACAGTATTATCCATTTCAAAAACAATATTAAAGTAAGAAGACCTTAGTGGTAAAGAGATGTGAATCATTTCTAAGCTCATTAAAACTTTATGCTGCCTGCTTTCATGCTCAAGATTAACCCAGAGCAATCAGAAAACAAAGCCAACACATGGACAGCTGACAAGTTGTCTGAATATATGAGCCTAAAGAGCAAATTGTCACTAAGCAAGCTAATGATAGAAATGATACATCTATTGCATATAATTTAACCAAAATTGATGCAGTCATGATAATTTCTTTCTAAATGTTAACTTAGTAAGGATTAGAAAATGGGAAGAATAAGTTGTACTTATACTGGGGATGGATATCTAGGACCTTTCCTATTGAACTACTCAAAATTGAATAGGAAACAAGAACACAAGCTAAACCACTTGACTACTCCTGCTGTTTCAACAAGATGACACGAAATAATAAAGATAGCTCATTAATAAAGCTAAAAAGAGAAACATATCACCACAAGTACCTTTGACGAGCCATACCACCAAATAGACATGGCCAATTTGGTTTCCCTCATCCCATGGCAGTCTCACTGAAATATGTTCCATTAAGAAGAAGCCACTACAATTTTTGTGTCCATCAATCTTTCTGATAATGACTGTTTCAAGGTTCAGAACTCAGGCAAATGCAGGACGAAGAGCGAGGGGTGGGGGAGGAGTACGAGAGTATCTCTGGAAACACTTATTAATGTTGTTTTTATGAGATGTACCGGTGTAAAAGAGCATATGAGAGTTTAGAAAGAAGCAACTGCAATCTTTTGTATGAAATGCACCAAAACAAGTTGGCTTATAGAGAGATAGAAACTAAATGGATAATGATGGTACGAGACAAGTTAAGAATAATCTTGTCAGAGGGAGAAAGTATAGAAATAAATTTGTCAACTGTACCAGATATGCTTCATGCTTGACTAACTAAGTTTAGTACGAAATATTGAGAGTACAAAATAGGGATAGAAGCAAAAACTGTGAAATGGCTGTAAAAGCTTCCATCATTGCATCTACTTGCAATGTGAAATATAAGAGGCACCTCCTCATGAAGATTGTGGGTAGTACAAAAGGATGAATAGTGACGGGTACCAATGAGCCCCAAAGAACTAGATAGAAATCCTCAAAGCTATAGATGTGTTACTAGTTAGAGAATTTTCTTACATCAATGGGAGCTCAACCATAAATACATAGGCTAACTGGTAATACACATGTTTTCTCATTCATCGCAACCAACTATGATAGTTGTCCTCCAATATTGCATAGACCAAGCAACATTATGTTTAAGTGTTCTAAGGAGTTGCAGCAGACTTAGCAATATACTAGCATCAATGTGCTACATCGTAGTGGTACAACTACGAAAATGTACCTTCCATTGGACCCCAGCTCTGCATTGTGATGCCATTCAGAGAATATATTGATCAGGATTGCTCTCTCACTCTATTTCGAACTAAGCCATCAATAGAGTAAGATTACAACCTAAGACTCCAAAGGGGCACAGGAACACTAGCTCAATAGGCTCAATTAAAGGAATTACCAGCATACAATTGAATCAGGATAAAATCAGCTGTCATTGAGAAAAGAGAGAGAGAATGTTGCATCTAGTGAGCACTACAGTATCTGCTCAGCGTCTCTCTCTTAACCTTAGAAGGGATATTGTAATAAAGTTGCAACACACTCAAACTGTGCACCATTCAGTTCTATTCACCAGCAAACAATTCAAAGTATCCACAGACAAGAGATGGTACACATCTGCCCCCATGTCACTACCAACAGATCCACCATTACAGAGAAAGTAAACAAATCCCAGTCAAAAATGTGCTTTGGAAGCAGCATGGTCAGCAAGAACCTCATCTCGTATCATCAATAAAAAATGGCATAAGCAAGACAGTCTTTCCAAGAGAAAGTGGCCCCATACTACCAGCAGTTGTCAAAGTGCAAAGGAGTTCCACAACTGCTCAGAAAGTTAGCTGCAGCCTGTAGAATGAACTTCAGGTTTTCCAGAAATGCTCACCCCACAGTTAGTGGCAGCCTGTAAAATGAACTTCAGTTTTTCAACAACCCCTCACCCCCCAATAAGTGGCAGCGTCTAAATGACTTCAGGTTTTCAACAACTTCTCACCCCATCAAAGAAGCATCTTTCGGAAGGTCATTAATTCTGCAACAATAGCAGAACCTATTTCCTATGAGCTCTTCACACTCAAAGGTTGAAGGGTAAGAGACTGCAATAACAGCAGTTCAGTCTAATCAATCTTGATAAGAACACCATAAGAATGAGATCTCTTCATAACCTGCCAGATTGACCAAGAAGTTGCTTGCAACATCATGTATGATTGAGGTTCTATACAATAGCAAAGCTAGTTAGCTATCCACCAAATAAATACCCTGCAGGATCTCCCAGATTATTTTTCAGTGAGAAAGATGAGAAGAATCAGAAATATAAGTATGACCTATCCTAATTATCTGAGACGGTAATAAGAAATCCGGACTGAGATTGAAAAAAGAAAGGAAGAACAAGAAGATGCTAGAGCAAAAGCTGGAAACAAAAAGAACAATGTAAGATGAGGAAACTGCTCCTTAAAATAAGTACTATAGATAGAGATATGGCTGGACTGAGAAAGGTAGGTACCAAAACCCCTCACCTGTACTTGCAATATGTCCTCATCCCAAGCCCTCACATCAACTTATGTTGTGTCAAAACAAGATATGCCAATGGAATGACATTTGATCATCATGCCCAATATTAAGCTCAAATCAACTCCAACAAAGCCCTAGTATGAACTATTTAGCCCAGGAAACCCATTCTTATGAATCTAGGGCAATATCCTTCATCTGACAATAATAAGCCACCAGCCTCCCTAGCCTGCATACGAAAAACCATCTAAACCTAGATACTCTGAAAGGAAATATAGGAAAATGCTAGCACATAATCCTAGGAACTCAGTGCCTAAGCAAAAAATAGAGATTACAAAGTGGGCGCTTAGCAGAAAGATGGGAGATAGATATTTGCTAATATAAAGCCACTGTCACATGGCTTTGGATAAATGTTTGCATAGAGTCATTTAAGTTAGTTCCTCATATTTCTTCAAGTACATATCCCAGTACATACAATCCCAAGTTATCATCAAAAAATTAGACAACAAATGCTGAAAAGGGTCATAAACAAGAAAAAAGATCATTTATAAAAGAGAGCAAACAATATAAGCTTTATTCAAATAAAGAAGTTAATGAAATAAAGCTAAATGTTTTTCAAGTTCTCGAAATAGTCCAAGGGAAGTAACTTTACATGGAGCCCAAAAAAATAAAAAGTATATTATAAGCAAATACAGACAGCTCAGTGCTAAAATGTATCACTGAGTAGAATAAAGGGACTGATCAAATGTTATTTCCTTACTTTATAAATGGAAGTGTTCAAATATGTAAGAGGAAATTTTTTGAAGAATAACATTGACATATCATAATATGTGGCATCATATCCTCCTGTGATCCAGGAGAGGTATTGGCCAAAGAGAACTCCCGACATCTAAAAGCAACACGGTGCAGGCAGATGCTCCACCTAAATTTTTTGAACGATAGATCGCAAAGCTAACAATTTGAAAATTTACACAAAAAAAAAGGATATGCTTACATGAACAAGAGAGTCTCACTCAAATCTGGTCAGCCACAAAGGAAAAGTATTATGTCTTCAGGTCCTTGCAAGGTCTTTAACTCTGCGGCGGTGTGGTATACTGTTGCAAATAAAACATGTTTCACTTGTGTTGGAAAAATTATGAATCAATAGTACACATCAATGGCATAAACAAAATCTTGATTTTTAGGGACCACTGTAATACTATATGCAACTAAGGCCCCGCAATCACAAGTTATGATTGTCTCATGTCCTTGCAAAACATAATACCAACTATCAACATGCATATCTAAAGGAACTCAAAATGCATCCATGAAATCAATTTCAGGACAATGGAATGTGCAATCAACGGCATAGCTCATGGTAGAATGGCATAAAACTGACTCTCAGCTCCATTTCTATTTGACTTAAAATTCATGGACAAGGTGTAATTTCTTATCCAAATAAGTTGCATCACTATGAGACTCAAATCCTAGTTTATGGGAAAAAATTCACACTGAGACCTCTATATCCATGGATCCATCACATCTCATCTTTCTTTGGTCCCTAGACCCCATAGGTGAATTTACTCCCTAACAGTTATAATACACTGGCCACCTATTTTTGAGAAAAGGAATTTCACGCTGGTCATTTAAAAGCCACACACACTCAAACATGGTGAAAAAATTATCCTAACCTTACTTGATATAAAGAACTTAAACAAGAACAACAGCATACACCACATAGTCCCACACGGTATAAAGAACTCAGAGGTATTAGTAGATAAAACTGACTGCCACTATGAGTGGCTAAATGTCAATGTTCCTCTTAGACCAAATTTGAGATTCCACCCTAGCGAGGGAAATAGAACTAAAACAATTAACAATAATAAGAAAAGGAAGCGTGCGCGCGTGCGCGCGTGCGCATACACACACACACACACACACACACATATATATATATGTAGATGGATTTTACTATTAGCTTAAATCATCAAAAAAAAAGGTTCAAGTCAAATTACTCGTTGTATTTACTTGGGTGAAACAGAGAGGTTTGTGGAATGGAGGTAAAAACAGAGGAATAAGGATTTTTCAGTGATTTAGCAAGTTAGAAAGTGAAGAAGGGAAGTACTACTTCAAACTTTCCATAAAAGAGAAAACTATATCACTTTTACTGCTCTCCCAATCATACCAAACAAAACTAAGCCATGAATACTTCACAGGAGTGTAATTAACCAACCAATTTCTCTCTTTTATCCTCCCTCTCTCCCTCCTTCCCTTTTTGATAAATAATTAATGCTTTCAGAAACTCCTATATGCAGCATATAGCTTCCTGGACAGCAAGATTTCCACATTTACGATCTCTAGTTAATGTAGCCACTTACCAAATTGGTGTATCAAATATTCAATTTTCTTAACAACAACAACAACATACCCAGTATGATCCCACTTGTGGGATCTGGGGAGGGTAGTGTGCGATGAATAACTACAACTATGGTTCACTTCCAAACTGGGAGACAGCGTCGGTCACATGAATCATCAATATTCATTGTCCCCTTCCATTCCAATCCTCAAAAATGATGTCTTTTCTTAATCCATGAGTAAATAGTCCATAGATTCTACTTTCTTTGAAATTATATCAAGTCCCCGGTATTTATTTATAATTTAAAACAAAAAAAACATACACTTGATAACTTACCCTCAAAATTAAAAAACTGAAAGTTCAAACAAACAAAAAATCTTAGATAATAAGTAGAAAAAAAAAACATAAAACAATTATTCATGCAAAATCTGTAAAGCAGCATACAACAAAAACTAAACGATCGGGTGAGAAGATCAGCTCGGAATAAATGGTTTCTTTTGGTTAGAAAATCGCAACAAATTAAAGCCTAAAACCCAACAAAAAATCACAAAAAAGGAACAAAACAACCGCAGAAGAACATAAATTTGATAAAATAACAACGATCGGGTACGAAAATCAACTCAAACCCAATAATTTTTACAATCGATCAACCGAACAAAACCGAAAAAAAAAACATTAAATAAACAAACAAACAAAGGACATGAACTTGATAGAAACAATAACATAGACTAAACCGATGATCGGTGAATTACCGGAAATTTTTTGCCGGTGAAGAAACCGGTAGCTTTTGCTTGTGGATGATCGGTTGATTGAGACGAATAAATTTAATTTATGAATAAAAAAAAAATTTAGAACTAATATAGGGAGATAATCATTATTTTTATTATTAGATAAAGAAAAGACAAACACGTAAAGAGAGAGAAAAAAAAGAGAGTAATTTTGTGCACTCAAGGCAAATGAATTTACATAGCGGTTTGGATTATTTTATAGGAGTAGTGGCCTCTCTTTTTCTTTTTTTCTTTTTTTTTATTCGATAGTAGCATCTTGCATTATTCGATCTCGAGTTTGAATTCTGATTAAGAAATGTTTCCCCCAAATGGAGAGAACGGGTCTTGATCTGAAACGCTTCTCCCTTAATGGAGAGAATTCGGAATAGTCGAATGTTGATGTAAGTGGAAAACCAAAAAATATAATATAACATAAAAAAAAATATTTTTAATAAATATTGTTATGGAGGTTGAATGTTATAGAGATATTTGAATGCACTATTAATTCAAGCTTTATTATTTGTTAATTAAGATATACGTTGTTTATTTGTTTATATTCGGTTACTATTCATGAGGCAGACATGGAAGTTAGAATTGATATTTAGGTTATTATCAGGAGAGATAGTTTTATGCATATTGATGAGTAATTCAAGAATTTGTGAGATTGATGAGAACGTCACACATTGTATTGAAATAGGATGGATGAAATGAAAGTTTACGTATGATAAAAATATGTCACAAACTTTTAAAGGTAAGTTTTATAAAATGATTGTTAAACTAACTATATTATATGGAGCAAAATATTGACCGATCAATAATTCATACATTCGAAAAATGAAAATAACAAAAATAAAAATATTGAGATAAATTTATATTTATACATATACTAAGTGAGATAGGATTACAATTTACATACAAATATTATCATTATTATGTGCACAGTATGTGCACAGAAGTCAAATTTTTTGACTATCTTTCTTTTTTTTTGTCTCATAAGAAAAGAAATAATGTACTAATCGAAGAAAAAATTATTAATTTATGGGCGATTGCTTTTTTCATAATTTTTTTCTCCCAAACACTAGTAATATTCACGTTTGTCAATCCTAGTTTACACGTAACTCTATTTATTATGGTTAATTAATATGTTAAAAAGATAATATAAAATTACTATACTCAAGTAAAAAAATATATATGTAAGACTCGTGATATTTTGTTGTTTTAATAAATTTGGCATAATTAGTAACAATGCTTAACTTTTGTTATTTAAAATGCTTAGAAAATCAAACTATCAAAAATGTAATGAGTTTTTTGTTTGGGTGTCCGAATTGAGGAGAGACTCAATTTAAGATTTATTACATACTTTTTTTATCACAAAATCATTCACAAATCTTGCTTAGTGTTATTTATAGCTTCATTTGCAAACAATTATATTAAAATGGAGTTTATTCTATGTATACGCAAAAAACATTAACAACTTAGATTTTCTTGTAAAAAAAGTCATTAAGAATAAAAAGTGAAGAATTTTTCACCAAACTCCCAAATAAGAAAAAAATGAAAAAGAATTACTAAAAAATTAAGTTAAATTATGAAAAAAATCCCGACTTATGGGTTGACTTAACTTGATTTGGTGTCAAGTTAAGAAAATTACCAAGTATTTAATTTAGTGTGACAAAATTGAACCAAAACAATATTTGATTTTTTAAAATACAATAAACTATAGTAAATAAATAAATAAAAAAACACTCCGTTCATAAAGTACAAAACTTGAATTAAAAATAATAATAATTTTTAATATAGATTTTGAGCGTAGATAGTAATTAACTTACAAGTTTTTCCTACAATAATTATAATGTGTGTACTGATCGTCGAAATTTTTACGAAGCAAATGATTCTCCATTATTATTATAATATAGCTAAAAATCATCAAAATATATAAAGCATATCCGTCATATTAATGTGGAAAAACTACATTTCAATGCATATGAAGATGCATTTATATATTATAGGTAGGAATTAAGAGAAGGACAAACTAAGGACATAAATAGCATATTTTATGAAAAGATTCGATTCGGGGTGGCCCAGTGGTTTGGGCTTGGGACTTCCATGTTGGAGGTCTCAAGTTCGAAACCCCTTGTCAGCGAAAGCAAGAGGTTTGCCTTCTGGGTCAAGCTCGTCGCATCGGGCTTGCCTAGTGTGGGTTACCTCTCCTATGTGGTTTGTGAGCTATTGCATAGGAGCAGAGGTATTACCCTATGCGCACCCAAAGAGTAACGGCTGTGGGTTTCCCTTGTCATAAAAAAATATTATTTTCAAAATATTTTAAACTTGTTATACAATTTATTTAGTTATAAAGCTTTTAAACTTGTCATAATATTTAGTTATCAATGATTGTGTTGATAATTAAAATTGTTGAGTACATACTCCTTAATTGTAGAGTCCTAAGTTAACTATACTTAGAGTCCTACTACTACAATAATAATAATAATAATATAATGCAATTATAAATAATCTAATTCTAGTTGTACTATAATCCTAATCGTAATCTAATTCTAGTCGTAATATAATCCTAATCGATATAAGTAGTCTAATTCTAGTCTGATTCTAACTCTACAGCAATGTTGTAAACACGTCAGTCAGCTTCGTTGGACATGTTCCAATCATCAGCTTCTTTCATCTTCAACATGCTATAACATATTCACCATGAATAAAACAATATATTTAAGTTACTAAATCATTTTCTAATTTAGCAAGTTGTCATTTTTTTGATTGACTAAGAAAATGTTTTTATTATATAAATTGAAACAATATGAGTGTTTGATGTATGAAAAAATAATCTAGATTGCAGATAGTTTTGAGTCAAACCATTAAGAGCATGCTTAGCTAGTTAGCTTAAATATATTTTTATCAAAGTCTTTTTAAAAAAAAGTATTTTTAAAGATTATCAGTTCGTTGTTTGAATTCGTAACTTTTGATATATAGTAAAAATATATATACGTACATCTAAAAAAATATATTAGATCTAAATTACAATTTTAACATCAAGGATTTGCACGTATTATTTTTATATTAGGGTAATTTTATCTTTTGTCATTGAACACTTTAAGTAACAAAAGAAAATGGAGAAAATGGTCAAATGCCCCCCTAACCTATTAGTCAATTCTCAACTACACATCAATACTTCACGAGAGTCCTAGTACCCCCCTAAACTTTTTATTTTTGATATTTTATAACCCTTAAACGCTGACCTGTCCAAGAAGGTGAATACACCTCCCTTAGGCGTGTAAGGATGTATCTAAAACACATTATCTGCATTTTGGAATCCACGTGTAAGTCCAAATCAGCCTAAAATTAAGGCTTTCAATTACAACTTGCATTTCTAAGCTTTTTTTCTCCCACAAATCTTCCATCTTCTTCCTTTCTTCTGCCATTTAAAAAGCTTGAAGCTTGGGAACCATTGTCTTTCATTTCAAAACTTCAATGGTAACTTCCATTTCAAATCTTGAACATTTTGAATTTCTAATCTTCTCTAAAAAAATTCGCTATTAGATTCAAGGTTCAAAGTTATTTTCCTCACTCATAAATATAGAATTGCAAAGTCAACTAGATCTAGCTATGGAGCTTGAAATTTCTTCTCAATGTCAATGCCCAAAAATAAGTTATTTCCCTCTTCAATTCATAAATA